CCCCAAAACCCCAAAACCCCAAAACCCCTCTTTGAAATTAATTTATTGAAATAATATTATACATGGGCTGCTGCAGTTCAAGCAAGAAAATTCACAAGCCTCGGCTCCAACATCGGAGCATCATCAGAACGGGAAGTTTCAAGCAGATCCGCGAGAAGTACACTATCCATCCCAAACTCATGGGCACTGGAACCTACGGAAAAGTGTTTCTGGGCTCAACTGCTGCGACGAAGGTGGCCATCAAGACTTTATCTAAAAAGAACTTGACTGAGGCAGAAATAGCTTTAATAAAAGACGAAATTAAGATCCTGCAGTCTCTGGACCACCATAGCGTCATCATATGCCATGAGCCTTACAAAAAAAACAGACTCTTTATAAACTTATATTCGGAATCTGAAATGTTATTTTCTCTGTAAGAAACCAGGCTAGATTAGTCAGATGAAAAGTAAGAATATTACAGGAAGAATCAAATAAGTAATGATACACAAAAAGACCAAGAAATTACAGAAAATGGTACAAGAGGCTAGCTTAGCAGACATTTATAGCTGAATCCACAAGTGATGGGTGGTGATTTGAGAAAATAATAAAAGCAAAATTTAGTGGATCGATGCCTAAATTGTTCTAGATCTACAGAATGACATGAAGATCGATTTTAAACAAGATTAGATAAAAAATACAAATAAGAAGTTAACGAATATCTGTATATTTCCACTCGGAAAATAAATAGCCAACAAAGCTGATCTAAACTAAGAATTAGTGCATTCTCATGGAGATATAGTCTACGAACTTATTTTTAGTTCAATTTTATCTGTCACTCTGTGTTTGCTACTTAATCAATGTCTCAATGGTATCTTATAGAGAGTGGTAAACTTCTCTGGTTAAAGAAATTTAAATACTTCTTAGATAGAAAATCATGAGTGCAAGGGGATCTCACGATCAACAACTGATCAAATTAAAAGGTTGAAAATATTTCAGGTATTACCCCACATTAGTCGAATAAGAAAGATTGATGAGAACAAAGAACATAATTTTCACAATATTTTTGAATCATCGAGCAGATTCGCTACTAAATTTTATACTGAGGCTAACCAAGCTACGTAACTCCAAGAAGAGACAAATCCAGTAAACAAGATAACCACTAAGCTTTCCTAGGGGGTAAAATCACCTTTTACTAAACAAAACAATTTTATCTTATCCCTTCAAATTCTCAAAATATAGAAACCTTCCTCTTAAAAATCTCTAAACTAAGTAATAAAAAGGATGGACTAACAAAAGATTCTTCTATTTTGACCAGCAGATTGTTGAGGAGGATAAGCGTCATTTAATCCTTCTTCTTGTACCAATGGTATCTTGAGAATAGCAAAGAATTTCATGGATCTGAAGAAGCGTCTGCTCAACTCCAAGCTGCTTCTTAATGCTAAAACTCAGCCAAAATCTTTATGAGACATTCTAAATCCTCCACACTCTGAAGGCGTATCTCTAAATAAAGAAGTGGATGCTCTGAGTGAATTTGAGATCAGGCTCAACAACTTGAAAGAAGTCAGAGTTGAAGGAAGAAACAAGTTTGAGATGGAGTTAGAGTCATGTCTCAAGATCCCAGAAGACCAGAGAATGAAGCTGATTGGTATTCAATAAATATAAAATATATAGGGGTTTTGGGGTTTTGGGGTTTTGGGG